GACTGATTAAACTTCTTCGCTTCGAGTGCTCCTAGTGGTGATGTCATGATAAAGCAAGTGTAACAATGGGCCAATTGTCATAACGAGGAGCGAATTAGGTAGCATCCACAGAGCACTGGAAATCTCTTTTTGAAGGCAATCATCGGAAATCAGCTCCTGAGCCGAGCCGCTCTTGTGTTCTATGTTTGGAGGGAGACTGCGTCAGAAAGATCCGGATGCGGAAGATCCGTCTAAGCTTGCAGATACTTATTCATGGACCCTGTCGTTGCTACCCAACCATATCGTCCGCTACGCTTACCAGACGGCTTTGAGCGGAGCTTAAAGTCCTTGTACCTATTATGATTCACAGGGGACACAAGTATAATACTCCTCATTCTTGAGCTCACATGAGCCGTCTCGTGTATGCTCAGAATTTGAGTCTAGAAAGGTGGCGACAGAATGATACACTCTGTTGTACTCAAAGAACTGGAACCTTGTAAAATACACATTTGGAGAGCATGACGCGGCCATAGTAGCTTGACGAAAGGTTATCATGGACACTCCACTCATACCAGATCTTTTCAAGCTTCGAAGTATGTGCCAGGTGTAGATCCCCCGGCCCCGGAACGGAGTGGAGTGTCAAGTAAGCGGATGTTCTGCAAAGTATCCGATTATGTAACAATGCACATAAAGAATCCATAACAATGATGCATGCACCCATGCAGCAATGCAATCATGCACATATTTACATCTTTAGGTCGCTACCCACTTCCTGCTTGCTGTCACTGGAGGATCACAGGGCTATCATAGGTCCTACACCGAAAAGTGCCTCAAGCCTATTTTTGCAAAACGCCATTCGCCCAGCAAGACCTAATGAAGCAATAGCTTGACAGCACAATCCATGGGATCAACGAAGAACTTGACCTTTGGGGAAAGTAAACTGGAAGAGGCGCACCAATCTTCATCTCACTATTGACTTGGGAGAGGAATACTGATAGCAAGTGATACTGTACTCAGTATGTGCCAGAGCAACACGCACCTCCACCTCCTTCTACGTATATCAAAGACAGGCGGGCAACAGAATCCGTCCGTCTCTTGGCAATGACGCAGCGCCTGCAATTGATCCGCGAGCTTTGGTGCCTTGCCCTTTTTCCCGCTTCCCCGCCATGAGGCTGCGTGTGCCGGTAACCGAGATGGAGACAAAATCCTCAACCCGAACTATTCCTACGTAGCAACTATCTAGCTCAACAAGAGTAGTTTCTACTCTTGAATGTCGCTACTTCTTCAGGGGAAGAAGCTTGAATCGCGTGTCCTACCGCACGCTCGCTCGCTCCTCCACTTATCGACCGGCCTAGATCGTCATTTGCAAACGATTGGTGCCAACACCTGAACAGCACGCTTGCAAGCATCAGCCACAACAGATCGGGTATGATAGGCGATCGACTATCTTTTCTTGCTGCCGTTCTGGAGGCATAATTTGGCTTCCCAAATCCTTCTTATCAATTCCTTGTGCTCGGTAGACTTCGATCCTCACTGGTATCAGCAGATATAGCCTATGGCCAAGGCAGGACGAGTCTCCACTCTGGCTGTTTTGACTTCATCGCTCCCTGAAACTTCGAATTTTGTTACTTCCAGGAAAGACATCCCTTTCTCTTCTGATTGATTCCGTGGGATGTCAATTGTTCCTCGACAACTAATGCAAAGTTTGGGATCTCGGCAATGGCAAGCGAACTTTTGTCTCCCCGACACACGCGCAATCGCGGGGAGGAAGGATATCGCACACCGACGATCGAAGACACTCAGAATGATCTCGGGGCGTTTCCATTCCCGTCTAGAGGGGGTCAAGTGCGCGAGGCGCATAGTTCGGCTCTTGAGGCGCTGAACCAACCTTCGTATCAACGGGCTGAAGCGCACGGCAACAAAGAGAAACACCGGCGACGGGAAGTGGACTGGGCTACGGCGAAAATTGGATGGAAAGGCCGGCTTCGTCACTTCACATGGGCCTATTTCACATTGACCATGGCCACGGGAGGGATTGCGAACGTTCTGTACTTTAGTAAGTCAAATATTCTCACCCTGGACATCCGCTTCGTCAGTTAACCTCGTCCTAGTTCCCTATAGATTTCGCGGCTTGGAGACGATTGGCATCATATTCTTCCTGCTCAACTTGGTTCTCTACGTTATCATCTGGTGCCTGCTGCTTACGCGCTTTTACTTATACCCCTACACGTTCAAAGCATCGTTCTTGCATCCAACGGAGTCTCTGTTTGTTCCTGCATCATTGGTTTCCTTTGGCACGATCCTGATCAACATTTCGCAATATGGACCCGACCATACCGGCCCGTGGCTCACGTTTGCAGTGGGTATTCTCTTCTGGATTGACGCTGCCCTAGCCGTCATCTCTTCTGCAGCCATATATTTAATCCTGTAGGTACACTCCAGACGCCCTTTCCTTGGGCTGCAAAGTTAATGTTCTTCCGCGCAGGTGGTCAACGCAGACGTTCACGATCGCTCAGATGACACCAATCTGGATCTTTCCCGCATATCCTATGCTAATCATCGGCCCTCACGCGGGAGTCCTAAGCTCGACCCTCGAACCCTCTCGTGCTCTCCGCATTATCATTGGGGGCACCACCATTCAAGGCGTGGGGTTCCTTGTCTCACTGATGGTCTACTCCGCCTTCATCTATCGGCTCATGTCCCAAAAGCTTCCTCGGGAGAACGTCCGCCCCGGAATGTTTGTATCCGTGGGTCCCAGTGGCTTCACCGTGTCGGGCATCGTCAACATGGCGTCTCACGCGAAGCGAAGCTTCCCCAGCGATTTCATGGGCAACGGGCCTCTAGCAGCGGACATTGTGAAGGTCGTCGCGAATTTCTCATGCTTATGGCTCTGGGGGTAAGTGCATACCATACCTTATCCCTGTCTTTTGCACCCACCAACGTTTCCCTTTTCTAGGCTAGCGCTTTTCTTCTTCTTCATCGCGAGCTTCGCGCACTGGTCGGTAATTGGGCCGGGAAAGATGGTCTTCTCGATGGCGTGGTTCTCGTTCGTATTCCCGAACACAGCATTGATCACGGCGACCTTTGCGATCGGGAAGGCTTTCTCCTGCAAGGCGATCAACATCATCGGATGCGTGATGGTGCCGCCTCTGATTCTGATGTGGCTTTTTGTGTGCTACATGATGGTTCGGGCGATCGTGACGCGGCAGATCCTCTGGCCGCAGAAGGGCGAGGATAAGGATGAAGGTGGATTCGAGATCCGTCAGATCAAGCCCGAGTCAGGGCAGAGTACACCTCCTGAAGAGGTCTGACTGCTTAGGCTATCTCCGGTTCGATATAAATATACCTATGAGATATGAGTATATACTAGACACTTAGAAGTTATGAGCTATGATACTTACATGGTGGGCTACACCACTCAGTGCAGTGCAGTGCAAGTCCATTCCTCAAACTAAAAAGCCCCACACGTGCCCCACAGCCCCAGCGCCTTTCCCGCCCACCAATCAACAGCCCCTCACGATCAAACACTGCAAACACCGACACAATCTCCCAAAGAAAAAAAAGTGTATGGCTTCAAAGTCCGCGCCGTATCGCGACCAACACTCCAATCCTTGTCCACGCAGCCCACCAACTTTTCCAGTCATCCTGCAATAAGATCGTCACCAGTGGCCTACTCCCAGACTCTCCCCCTCAAATCCACCCACACCCCCACTGCAATCGCGCATCCCCCCCCCGGAAACCTCCCACCATGACGGACGTCGGCAAAACTCCTTTCATAAAGGAGCTCGCATCCAGCGGTACGCCCTCACGCCTCAAATCACCCCCCCTCCAACAAAACCAATACTAATCAATGTTCGGTAGACAAAAAACTCCGCGATAAAGCCACCCACTCCCTCACGCTCTTCCTGCGCGCCAAAACCGACCTCTCCAACCTCGACCTCCTCAAACTGTGGAAGGGACTTTTCTTCTGTGCGCAGCCTTGCCCCTCTCCCCCAAACCTACACCCTGCCCCAAACCTTCCCCTCAGAAATGAAAATCCAACTAATGAACGAAAGGCTTCTACCACTCCGACCGCCCGCTCACGCAACAAGCCCTCGCGCGCACGCTCTCCTACAGCCTCGTGCCCACGCTGCCGCGCCCCACTCTCCACAAGTTCCTGCGCGCCTTCTGGCTGACCATCGGCCGGGACTTCCACTCGATCGACCGCCTCCGGCTGGACAAGTACCTGTTTCTGATCCGGTGTTACGTTGGGGTGGCGTTTGAGGTGCTTCTCAAGGGGAATGGCACCAAAGCCTCCGTAAATGATGCCACTGCGGACGGGAAGAAGCGCAAGCGAGAGGAGGAGAGCACCAACAGCAGCAAAAAGGGAGGCAAGAAGCGGAAGGGCAAGGGCCAACAGCAGCAGCAACAATCGCCGGAAGAAGAGGAACAGCAAGACACGAAGTCAGGGGAAGTGGATCTGGCCGCGCTGGAGTCCTACCTCGCCATCTTGGAGGATGGACCGCTCTGCCCCCTCAATTTCGACCCAGACCAGCCCCCGGCCAACGAGGCGGAGGATTTCATCCCCATGCCGCATGGGCCGGATGGGTTGCGGTACCACGTGATGGATATCTGGGTGGATGAGTTGGAGAAGGTGCTGGAGTTCGAGGAGGTTACGACGGCGGAGGGCACGACGATCAGAAAACCTAAGGGTCTGCAGGTGCCGGCGGAGTTGTTGTTGCGGCCGCTCGAGAGGTTGAGGAAGGAGAGTCCGTACAAGCCGGTGCGGGTGCGGGCGGCGGAGGCGTTGGAGGATGATCGGTTGGTTGAGTGGGGGTGGAAGGAGCGGAAGGTCGAGAGTGATAGTGATGATGAGGATGATGATGAGGATGACGAAGAAGAGGATGAGGATGCGGAATGGGGAGGGTTCGGGGATGATTAGATGAGAACGAACACATACAGCAACAAAAGTTTCTTTGCGGAAAGGGTTGACTCGGAGTTTGGTTCATGTACTGTACTTGTGTAGGCTATTTTTCTTTCTTGGAAATCATCCTTGTTTGATGCTCCGATCCGGCAGATACGGAGGTTGAACATTGAATGATTTATAACAATATCTATAGAGATTCTATCAGCTACCCGTTCTTCGCTCTTCTCTAGGTAGTGTACACTATATATATATCTTGTCAGGACAGGTTGAGCCAACCCGAAACAGAAAGCAAGCCAGTGCTTTCCTCAAAATCCAGGGTATCATCGGAGTGCAAAAACTGGAAAACAAAACTGAAGCAAAAAAGGTATTCCAGCGACCGGTTCGGCCCCCTAAGGCCTGGGGCCGTCTGCCTCATACAAGTGTCCGGACTTCGACAGCACAGTACCGAGACCTTTGTGAATCTCCCCCTGGAAGGCTTCAAAAGGAATGCTCTCCCCATCCACACTAATGTATCCCTTCTTCTCCCGAGGGACAAGTCGGTATGCTAATGCCTTGCGGATGTTGACTTCGGGCATATCAAAGAATCTTCCCTCGGGGATCTCTGTCATCATCTTGAGAGATCTCAGTCGACTGACGGTGCCATCGATGGTGACAATGTCCATATGCCCGTCATTGGGCACTGACGCAGGGAAGAAATTGGTATCTTTCGACATAATGGCCATGTTGCCCGCATAGAAGTTGCCCAGGGTCTCAGCCGGAACCACCTCCCAATCCTTGGGCAAGTCATCCTGTACAGTTCCGTAGACGAGCTCAGGCAAGCCACCCGACTGGTCTGCAGTGAGCTCAGCAGGGCGTCCAGCGGGCTGGCTTTGCGCATAGGTGTTGTAATGGTTCTTGATCGCCTGCTTATCATCCATGACCACTTTGATCGCGAGGTCGCATGGATAGACTGTCATGTGCATGAGCCGCTTGAGGAACCCATATGTGAAACGATGAGCCCCCATCCAACGGATATCGTCGGTCCCCAGATCAGACTCAGCGATGATTCCGAAGGACTGAGACAGAAAAGACAGCGTGCGGGTATTCCCCTGCGTGATGGACACCAGATCCAGCGGTGTCCGCAAGCCCTTCACGATCGCCAAAGCTGCCACCGAGATACTGCCGGTTCCGCATAAATTCCACGTCATGGCGTTGCCCGATCCACCAGGGAGCAGGGCCACGGCCACCTTGGCGAGCGCTTCCCGTGCATTGGGCTTCTGCGCCAATCCATTGAAGACCTCATACGGCAGCCCATCGCCGGAGCAGCATACAATCGCATCGTACGCGTTGATGTCGAGTTGTTGCACAATCTCCGTTGCGTGACCGCGGTGCGTGGTTTCCTGCACGTCAATCTGACAGCGTGCCGAAGCAAGGATGGGCGCTGCATACGTCGAATACAGCTTGGCAGCGTGACCCTGGCCACCGAAAGGATTGATCAGGATTTTGAGTCTCTTGTTACGCTGGGCGGAGCCGTAAGCGGCATCGAGTAACTTCTTCATCCAGGTTTCGGCGGCGCTCTTCTCCTCCTCGCGGATTGAGTATTGAAGGGCGGCCACGGAGACTTCGTCTTTGTGCTTCGGCTCCGCATAGGTGATCGTCAGACCGGCCGGCGAAAGATCGGCGTCCAAGACATTGTACAGAGAAATAGTGTGGGCAATCCTGGTGGCTAGAACCGTGGGAAAATTGTCAGGCCAGAGTTGCTAGGAATTTACTACAGTCGTGGGTTTTGTGGGTTGAAGTTACCTGCATCCTTTCGAATCCGCACTGTACAGCATCCGCGCTCGGATTTGCGGCCGGAGCGTTCGTCTGCGCGCACCCGAGGTTGAGGTTAGTTATCGGAACGATGAAATCAAAATATTTCAAACCAGCCATTGATCATCTAAACCTACCGACAACGAGCAAAGAATCGCTTCCCAGTGTTAGGGTGATCGAGTCGCCTACTGCCAGGGTGGCATCGTGCTGTAAGAGCTGATCCGAGACATCCGCGGTGTTGAAGGAGGGCCGCGAATTGCTATCGGCAGTGGTCGTGGTAGTAGCCATGATAAAGCCCGGCAGGAAAGCCGAGAGAGGGCGACACAGGCGGAGGAGATTCGGAAAAACTGCCAATGAACAAAAGGCAAAGTAAGGATACGGGAACAAGCAAGATCCGAAAACGGGATAAGAATAATCTAAGAATAAGAGTAAAGCGGGCAATAGATAAGTCTTAGGTGAGGAGGAAAGCGACATGAAGGGTTTAAGGTGGAAAATGGGAAAGGGAAAGAGAGAAGTAACTTAACTAAAGCGGAACGGAGATTATGCCCGGTCTTTATCGAGCAAGGCTCAGAAACGAACGGTCCCTCCACCGGACCCTCTCTCTCTCTCCCTCTCTCCACTTGGTCAGTTTCGCCTCTGCGCCTCTCTCTCTCTCTCTCTCTCTCTCTCTCTCTCTCTTTCTCGCTCTCTCTGTTCTACGAGTACGTACCTTTCGATTTCTAGACGATCCTCAGATCCGATTCCAGAATTTCCCCAATTTTGTGGAATGAATCGCTCCTGTCATTTGCGGAACCAAACCAGCGCCTCATTGGAAACACTCCACTGCTGCGCCATCGGACCAATTGGTTTCAGCTCGCCATCCGGCATACTTTGGCCCAGAACTGGAACGTACAGCCTACAGTACGACAACAATGAACCGATCCTGTGTTCGTTGGGATTCTAAGAAATCTTTCATTGAATAATAAAGTCTTTTCTCATCCGGCAAAAAAACAGGAAGAGGCACAATAATCAACAAAATTTCGTCCATTAGAAAAACACAGAAGAGTGAATAGGTGCATAAGTCCAGACAAATCGGTGGGTCCAGCAACAACAGGGTAATGGCTATTCAAATACGAGTCAAAGGCAACACTTTATTCATGCCGCAGATGCCTTGAGCCCCTTCAGAGACCCCAGGCTCAAAGCCAGTCCCTGAGAACGACTTCTTATCCGCACAAAACCGGTGATCGGTCCATCATCACCCTCCTTCTCAATGCTCAGGTTCGCCAGAGCGTCCTCGCCTGTAGAACATCCAAGGTCAGCAACAGCGTCACAAATCGGATTGGCGGAGAGGGGTCGACACTTACCAAATACGCTCCGGGCATATAGGTTGGCGCTCAGGAAACGACAGTCGCCCTTGAGGGAGGCCTCGGGAGTCAAGCAAGCCATGTTGGTGCTCTCCATGAGCTGCTTGAGGAACTCTCGAAGGCTCTTGGCCTTAGAGTTAATGTTTACCTTGTTCTCCCACTCGAACTCTGTCCACATAGTACGGAACTGAGTCTCAGTGCAGTGCGCGGGTTGGATGTAGTCCATGATGTCTGCATGGATGTCGTTCAAGATCACCACGTGGGTTTCCGTTGAGCTAGCTCCGTCGTAGACAATGTTGCCGAAAATCACACCAGTATCCGTTGACGATACCTTGACTGTAGCCTGCACGTTCAAGAAGTCGCGGGGTCCGAGGTTGTGTGTGGTGGGTCGCTCGACAACCTTGAGGTCTCCCAGGGTTGCAAATTCGACGCTAAGGTTCTGCAGGGTCTCGAGGGTCTGATTAACCAACAGCACATCCAGAACAATGTCGAACTGATGAACTGTAACGTAAGCCTCAGCGTAGACAGCATCCGAGAAGCCGGTCAGCTGGACGACCCGGCTCAACTTCGAGGAGACAGTCTCCACGGTCGAGTCACCGCCAGTGGCCTTGGCGAGATCCAGTTCGATTTCCTCCGCGCCTTCAAGAGCTGCCTTCTTCGTAAACTGCCGGATCGGAATAGCGTCATCTACTTGTACAGCAGTCTTGGCCTTCTCAACAGCTTCCTTGGCGGCTCTCTTCTTATCCTCAACCTGGACCATGGCGCGGAACGCTTTCCGGGTGTCTTCCAAGAAGGTGGTCTCCAACTCCTTCTTCTCAGAGAACTCGGCAAGTGAGCGCACACAGCACATGATGCGATCTACTGAGTCTTCATCAATAGGTGCCTTGACGAAGTGAGACTGGCCCACGCGAATGATGGAGATCATGATGAGCATGGCTTCTGCTCGCAGAGCATTAGTACGGGCGGCGTCCTGGGAGACCTCCGAGTGGCGCATAACCAACTTGGTGAGAGTGGAAGAAAGGACAGTGGCCAGATAGTAGTCACCGTCTAGGATTAATTGACGAAGAGGAGGCTTCTGTGCGGCCTTGACAGCTTCAAGGCGGGCAGCAGCAGCCGACTGGCTAGTGAGAGCACTCTCCGTGGCATACGTGCCGTCAGCCAGCACCTTGCGGGATCCGGTCGGAGCAGCCGGTTTGCTGTGACCATTGGGCTGATCCTTGAAAGTAGCGTCTTCCGGTACCTCGTCAAGGAGACGTTGTTCCGAGGCGAGAATGGGAATTTCTCCGAGACTTGCTCTGATACGCTTCCACGCCTCGCGAATATCGCGTTCCTCCAGAGAGTATTCACCAACAACCCATAGAACGCCCCGGTAGACCTTGCCCGCACGAACTTCGCTCAAGGTCGAGACCAACCGGTCAACGATGGAGTGTCTGAGGGCGGGGAACTTCTCTACAACCTCCTTCACGAAAGAGATCACGTCGACGGCCGAGTTGTTGTTGAAGTCGGCGATGAAGTCCATCAGAAGGTCGACAACGCTTGCAGCAATCTCCGAGAAACGGATGGCGCAGTTGTGTATCGACTGGATCAGCAGCTGGCGGTATTCACTGTTCTGCATATACTGTTAGCTTCGGATTTGTCAAGACAGGACGATAAGCTTACCTTCTCATATTGTTCATCAACAGTCTTCGCGAGCTCCTTCTTTAGCAGCATAACGATCTCCTCAACATTCTTGCTTGACACCATCTCCAGAGCGATGCCGAGTGCCTTACGGCGAACGTCGATGTCGGGACTGGAGAGGACACGGAGGATTTCCATGGTGAGGTCATCCAGAACACCCTCGTTGCGAATGCGCAGCTGATCAACACGGTCAAGAACAATGAGCTTGACGTTGTTGTCGGCCTCCTTGATGCAGAGTTCGATCAGCTTGCCTGCCGCAGCCTTCACGGCGACCGGGTTGCTGGTGAGTGCCGTCAGAGAGGTCGCAGCTTCATAGATGACAGTGCTGGTCGAGGCATCCAGAAGGTCAAAGATCAAACGCAGATATCTTGCCTACAAGCAGCCGTTAGTAGCCTGCGCAACCATTGATATTCTGCGACCAACCTTGTTCTGAGAGTTCTGCACAGCATCTTTACGAATGAACTCAAGCTCCGCCAATTGTAGCAACTCATCAGTATTGGGAATGCTGTCGAAAGTGGACGAAAGGTACTCCAATGCCTTCTGATGGCTGATCGACATAAGGGCCGCGAACGCATTGCGCTTGCAGGTGCCGTCGGTCTCGGTCTCGAGGAAAGTCTGAATGAGCTCTGGCGCGTCCGGGATCAGGGATTCGGAGTGCTGGAAGATCGAAGCGACAGCCCAAACAGCGTTCTTTCTCACGTATGCGTGGCGGTGCTCCAAGCAGGAGCGTGCGGATGAGAGGAGGGGTTCGATGAGTTCCGGCTCGCGGAGTTTGCACAAGAAACGAAGTGTATTGCCTCGGATGTACTCGTTGGGGTGCTGGAGATCATTGCGAATGCCGTTACTGTAGAACAAAGCAACCATCAGAGACAAGGACTGGAAGTCTAGACCACGGCGAGAGAAGTATGTATCTCCTTACCAGACCAAGATCATCTCTTGCTTGAGCTTGCCATTGGCGTCGAGCTTCGGGCAGATTTCGTAGTAAAAGTAAAGCAGTTTCTTGAGGGACTTGCTCCGGGAGGGCATGACGAAGCGAATGATGTGCATGAGCAGCTGTGGCATGGGATCTCCATTGAGCATGATCGTGATGATCCGCCTCATAGTGTCCATCTTGGTCTCATCGGTACCCTTCTCCAACTGCAGCTTCAGCTCCTGCAACGAGGGCTGATCTGCAGTGTTGTCCAAATGGACCAGACTGTATGCATTTTCCAAGAAGGAGGCCATCGTGATTGAGTGGGTGAAAGCGAAAGGCCGTAACAGGGGAAAGTCAGGAGGAAGGAGGAGAGCTTAGGCGTGGTCAGTACAGGTGGTTGTTTGGGGTTGGTGGTTCAGGGGATGGCAGCGCTGCGCACCAGGTCAACTCTCCCCAATGGGTAATTCGGAGCCGACAAAAAGAAATGGATTAGTATAGCTGGGCTCCCCTCACCTGCCTAGCGTTCATCAGTGCAAGATGTTGACAATCGGAGGGGGTGCGGACATTCGAGGCTCAACCTGGCCATTTGCGCGGCGGAGCAAGCTGTCCGGAGTGTGTGAATGACTAAGCCCGCCTGGACCAACCCGACAAACCAGGCACTTCCACCCAGGAACGCGCCCATCATTTTCACTTGCTCCGGAGCATTCTCGACGGACTGGTTGGATCGGCCACCAAGTTGCAGGTCAACCATACACACAATATGTCAGGTCAAGGCGAGACCTTCTATCTCCGCTACTAGTAAGGACAGCCTGTATGAAGCCCAGGTTTCCTCAGCTGCTGACAGCCATGCAGCTCAGGTCACTCTGGGCGGTTTGGACATGAGTTTCTAGGTTGGTATCTTCTCAGCATTGCAGCTGGCGAATGTATGAGTTAACGATCACTAGAATTCGATTTCCGCACCCTTGGCGATGGCCGTAGTGCCGCCGTCCGATATGCCAACAACTCCAATTACCGCAATGACTCCCTTATCCGCAAAGAAAGTGAGTTCCCAACAAGGTGCGGTGGTACTGGGTTACAAGAGCTGATATAGTCGTGTAGTGTGTGTCAGTGCGGCAATGATCCAGGAGGTCAAGCGCATCATCAAGGAGAGTGAGATCATGAAGTAAGCCTTACCTTACCCTGCCGGATATTGGACGAGCTGGGTATACTCACACGACCCAGGGAGGACGACTCCAAATGGCCTCAGAAGAACAAGGATGGACGTCAGGAACTGGAAATTAGGTTGGGTAATGAACATATCTCCTTCGAGGTGGGTTCTTGTATTGCAATCCTTGACCGTGGTTCATTCATCCTGACTGTTTGATGCAGACCGCGAAAATCGGCTCCTTGGTGGACGTGACCGAATCTGCCGACCCTGAGGGTCTCCGTGTCTTCTACTATCTGGTGCAAGACTTGAAGGCTCTCATCTTCTCTCTTATCTCGCTTCACTTCAAGGTGAGTTGGGCCTTACTTGTGCGCAACCCCCAGGCATTTTGGCTAATAGAACTTCCTCGTCCAGATCAAGCCTATTTGAACTCACACGCGATGATTGAACGAAGAAGGACACAAATTGGCATAGGCGTTACTTGTTATTTGGCTTAAGACACCCAAAATGATAGCGGATATACCTGATTTCATGCATTGCAGCACCAATTAGTAGTAGCGAGTAGCAACTGGCGAAGACCAGGTCCGGAAACTGCAGGCGGGAAATGACGCAATGCAGGAGTGCCAGTAGAGCCAACGTAGCAAGTGCTTCATGTACAATGGGCCACGGCTATTACTACCAGAACAATGCCCAACTTATGTGATACTAGAGAACAGAATGTGAAATATGTTCGATGGGTAAGGAAATGAGGGAGAGGGTATTAAGGCGGAAGCAGTTGAAGATCATATCATATCAAATCATATCATATCATATCATATCATATCACATCTTCATCTGTCCCCCCCCCTTTTTTTGTATTCCCTTATCAACGCTGCGCGCAACCCTCCGATTAACCGCCCGAGGCGCCGCCGATTGCCCCGTTCGCCTCCCCCGCGCTCGCATGATCAGTAAAAGCCGCCCTATCCTTTTTGGGCAATGTCTGCTGGCTGCTGCAGTGGCTGCGGTGCGCAACCCCCGGACTCATCAATCAAATCAATTGAACTACACTTCCCTTTCTATTCATCTCCTCCTCTTGAGCCCCCCCCTCCCTCCTCCCCCCCCATTCATTCCTCCTTTCCTACTTCCACCCCCTCAATAACCCCAATCTTACTCCTGCAACCTTCGCTCGGTTCTTTATCCGATTCCCTTGAATAATTCCCTTTTGATCCTAGTCTCCTTTCCTACCCTGCGCGAATCCCGAATCCTACGCCCTGGTTACGAACTGCATGCTTGCTTTTCCTGCTTGCTGAACTCCCTCCGTCTCCTTGCACTCCCTCACGCTTGCTATAAGTGCACCTACTTCGGATCCGATGTCATTCATTTCTTAATTCGCCTCCAATGCCGACCCCGAGTGACATTACATCCAGTGTGAATGCTTCGTCAGTCCTAGAGGAACTCTCCGCTCGTTCCACTTGCCCACCCGAGGTCGAGAGGCTGCCCTCCTGGAGAGAGTCTCGAGCACCCTCCACTCTTTCCGATCGGGATGAGTCCGAAAGCTCTTTGTCTCAGCTCATCTCTGCGGCCCACACGGCGCAGAATGCCCTGATAGATGCGACCGCAGGCTCCACCGCCGAGTCCTCGTCCGGTGGTAGCCCGATGAAAGATGTGGCAAAACCCGAAGATGAGCCTGCCGCGGGGAGGTTGAGTCCGGCTGCAGAGCCATCATGCTCAACCAGCCAACCTCCGTCGGTCACTCCATCATCGAACACCTCGCTGTTAAGCTACGAGTTCTCTAATATTCGGGTATGTTCTAGACTACAAATGGCATGGTCGCGGGCTTGGTCTGACTCTGGTAGCTCCTCCCTAACTATACTTCCTCTTTCTTGCGCCCGGGAAGTAAATTTACCGGCACGCAGCAATCCGATCGGCAAGTCTACAATGTCGATGTCGAGATAAAGCATGTTGACATGCAAGAATCTTATCTTTGTGGATATCTTCGCATACAAGGTGCGTGGACCGCAACATAAGGGTTTTATACCGCCCATGACTCACGTAAACCACACCTGCAGGTCTGACGGAAGATCACCCTACTCTTACGACGTTCTTTGAGGGCGAAATCATCGGCACGAAACATACTTTCAAGACTAAGAACGAAGCATGGGGCGCTACAGAGAAGACCGATATGCAGCATTGGAACAGGTTTCCTGCATGGCGTCCGCTATCCAAGCAAGCAAGGAAACCCGATTTCACGTATCGCAATTACGCCCAACGTGAACACATTTTCATGCGCTGGAAAGAATACTTCTTGGTGCCCGACCATCGCGTTAGATCCATATCTGGTGCAAGCTTTGAGGGGTTCTACTACATTTGCTTCAATCAAGTAGAGGGAACTGTTGCTGGCATATACTTCCATGCGAAGAGCGAGAAGTGAGTCTTCCGAGAAGCGTACCTACATCTTTTAGTGCTAACATGAGCTACTTTACTTGCAGATATCAACAATTGGAGCTCAAGCATGTGGAGGACCATGGCTGTACTCCTGCCATGGAATTCCGTTAAATTCCCCTTTCCTGCAACTTTTGCCCGGGGCCATGAACGATCCCTGAATCAGGCTATCAATCCTTCCGCTGGCATTATCCCATCTAATTGTTGTTTATTCTTCCTTTTTCCACCCATACCCCGGTTTTCGGCGGCAATGACCTTCCCGTTTACTATATGATGTCTCGAACCTCGGAAATGCGGAGCGTTTCACCCTTCTCGAGTCGTTTTTTGATCGCTATACCTTCCAGCGGTCAATCGGCCCCAACACAATGGGGGTTTCATGTCATTTTGATGAAGACACGCTTTTGTCCTTTCAGTCTTCTCTTCTTACCTTTCCAGATCTTCCGCTCGGCGTACAGGTGGCTGTAATAGTTTTACCTCTTAACACACTACACTTAGGGTCATGACTTGTTTGTTTTCTTTTACCATCACCCATGCTTTACTCGTCTGGTTTCTTCTTCTCATTCTATAGGGTTATCATGAACAGTTTATCACGAGCAGAGCGAATGTCGGGCATATACTCTCATTCCATTTTCCAGGGTATGCTTTTGTCATCGTTTGCTTGGGTTTCTCTATTTACCCCACCTTCCAGTCTCCTCGGCCACGAAATCCACTTATTCATTCTTATTGTCTATGTTGAGAGCATCAGTTAGGAACAATAGTGTCCGCGGTTATGGAATGCGCGATGACACGGTGAATCCAAGGTTGATTCACCTTTACCATTATCAAGAGCCTCGCCAGCGCCGAGCAGTAGTTACCACTCAGTGGAGCTAGATAATAATAGTATATTCATTGATCCTGGATGGACTGTTTCAGCATCTTTACATCTGATTCTACCAACTCAGGCATTGAGTAATCAATAGAGCATATGTGAACAAATTGGGTAATGTAGAAGTATATTGTACTTGTATTCTCTCTCTAATGCAGATATTGCTGAATGACGAATAAAAAGGAAAGAGGCCCCCTCAAAAAAAGCCCAAAACAAAACGCTCCTTCGTATGCTGGGGCGTGGTACGAACAAAAACCAACACGAGACACAAAACGATCCCAGAATTCAGCATGATTGCCGAAGACGGGGCCGAATACTCCCCCTCCATAGAGGAAATATATCAACAAATTGCAGGTCGACAAACTCGTTTCATAGTAGTATGTCGAGATGACCAAAAACACACACAACACAAAAAAAAGGAGGGCCAGAATATATGTATGTATACTATGCCGACAATTCGTATAGGGAGGAGAGAAGCCAAGAACGAAAAAAAATAAACAAAAAAAAAAAACGAAGCAAACCAGATCACAAGCCAGTAGTGATTTAGTGGATTAGAAATGAATGTATGCAGGGTATCAGATGCGGAATCAAAAGGCGTAGGGGGTAAGAAGTGTGTTGCGTGGGATTAACAATGATGGCGATGGGGCTGGGAAATGCGGCTTTTCGAAAGAGGATTGCATGAAGGGCGGGCAGAAAGCAAGCATTTCACACAGCTTGGGTAGGCGTGGGGAGACAGAAATCAGGCTGCACTAGCCGTAGGTTGAGTTTTGGCGGCTGCCCGAGGTGGAACTGCTGGCGCTGTTCTCGCTGCCAGGCGTGGAGGCATCAAGGACGACCTGCTGGCGGATGGAGACGATCCACTCGTGCTGGAGGAGCTCGGCCGCGGTGGATCGCTTGAGCGGATCACACTCGAAGCACCGGCGGAGGAAGTCGATACCCAGGTCGCTGAGTTGGTCGCGGCTCGGCAGCTGTGGTTGGTTGCCTTGGGCG